AGAAGAAGAAGAAGAAGAAGAAGAAGAAGAAGAAGAAGAAGAAGAAGAAGAAGAAGAAGAAGAAGATTGTTTTTTTAAAGGTAAATCTTGTAAACCATTAGAAAGTCAGCATATAAGTGTCTTACAGCATTTGTAGGAGACAAGCTGATTGTAACAGAGACAGCAAATTCATCCATTTCTAGTCTGGACTCGCTTTGTCTAGATTCAGGCAAAAGGTGCTTTTTTATTCTGGTTTTTCAGAATAAATCCAGCAATGTGCACTGAAGGGACACCTGCCTTCTAGGCCTTAGAGCATAAGAAGACACTTGCGCTTTCTAGCCCTGTACGTGCACTTTCCGAATCAATATAAAAGTTACAGATAAAATATATAATTTATAAAATATATAAAAAATATATGAAAGAGTTCACTAGCAAAAACGGACTGATTAACTTCTCTGACTCTACTCTGGGGATCAAAGAATTGAAGATAGATGAAAGCTCATGAAAAACCACAGGAGGGGGGTTGTTTTTAGATTGCTGTTGTAACGTCTGCTGGATTAGACATCGATTCCCAGCAGGGTGTTTTTAAACTTTTCTCCAAGTGGTGGAATGGATATCTCTACTCACGTGGCTTGGGGTGGACAATGAGCAAGAGAAAAAGTATCTGAAGGGTCTTGGGATTCTTCATCCTCCTCCCTTCAAAAAGCTCCAGGTCTTTGCGGTGGCAAGTGGTCCTTGGCTCACCCACGTGACCCAATCCAAGGATATCCTACTAAATATTTCCCTGGGATGAGTTCACAACCTCATTTTCCTCCTATTGCTAGCCTGTGGATGAGCTGGCCGAAGTCAACTTTTGGTGTTTCAGAATAAAAGTGGTGTTTTCTGTCGGCCGCACGGGGTTAACCAGAGAGGAATCGCAACCAGATGAGCTAATTCTGCTTTATTGGAAAGCTACATTAACAGAATCTCAGAAATCTGAAAGTACACTTCTCCCCCTGTCTTTTTTACAGCCCAAGAAACTAGGGAGGGCCCCTTCTGAGCCTCTTTCTCCATCCGTTATGCAGCTGAGGGCTATGTCCTCTCTTATCTGACCGTTCCCTTGGCAGCATCTCTTCGCCCTGTCTCCCGAGGTCCTTCCCACATATCATTAAATTTTCCTTCTTATTCCTGCACAAGACCTCCCAGGTAGACAATCTAGGATGCATGGTGGAGGAGGAACCTTGGGATGATCCAGTCTGGGTTGGCAAGGCAGGTCTGTTGCGAGAATCCCTCCTCCTGCCCTTCTGATGGCTGAGCGATGTGCCGGCTCTATAAAGTTGTTCTGGCTACAAGAGAAACAACAGCCCTGGTTTCTGCAGCTGCTTTAGCTGCTGTATTTTCCCAAATAGATTTGTCCTCTTCCTCACTATGTCCTCCTCCTCCTCTTCTTCTTCCCCATCCCCTTCCTCTTCTTCTTCTTCTTCTTCTTCCTCCTCTTCTTCTTCTCCTCCTTCCTGTTCACAACTCTTGCTCCTTCTTCCCTGTCTGCTTATCCTCCTCCTCCACCAGGATCCACCTGTTTCCTTCTGGTCCACCACCTCTTTCTCCCCCTTAAGAGACCCAGTGGATCTGCAGTGACGTCATGAGTCAAATGTCCCCCACCTCCAGACCGCATCTTGCCGATCTTCCTGTGTCACAGCCTTCTTTGCTTTTCCCAGGTGCAGTCCAAGCCTTTGGTGAACAGCTGGACGCCTTTGCCTCAGGCCAGCTCATGACCCTAACTCAGTACTTTTCCCAAGACTTGATCTACGTCATTGAAAACGATATCACCTTGGTGCTCCAGGAGCTGATCACAGGGAGGGTCATCACATCACAAGAAGCTCAGGTGCCAATGGTTCGCCATTCATCAGAAAGTGAAGGGTGAACATCCTGAGGATTTAGGGGGTGGGCAATGCAGAATAGGAGAACTGTTCTTAATTTTGGGGGTTGGGGTTGATCCTCCTGCCTCCACTGGATCCGCCTGAATCCTTGTCTTGCAAATGACACAAAAATTCTGCCCTCTGTTGGCCCTGATTAGCCATTGCAAAGGACAGGAATGGGAAGAGCAGCAGAAGGTGTGCCCTCTGTTGGCTTGTTTGCATATTGCACCGTTCCAAAGATGGGCAAAAACGTTGCCCGCCCCAGCACCCCTTTTGAAGTTGCTGCCAAACTGTATCTTTTAATGGGACAGGCAAATAAGCATATTTTTTCATTGAATGTTACTTAGTTTTCACTGTACATTTAATTAAGTCTAACATTTTCATCCTGGCCCTACCTAAATGTTGAGGCCAAGTCGAAATATGGACTTAGACCTGAAAAGGGCAAACCCTTTGCTATAAACGGTTAGGAGCCGTAGGAAGGTCCGAGAACCTCCATTTTTAGCTGCTGTATGACTTGAAATGAGTTGCTGGGTGTTTTGGGGAGCCTCAAGAAGAACGTTTTAGAAATGGGCTCCTGTCTCAGAGACAGCTCGCTCATCTGGGATCTGTGGCATCGGATCATGCTTAAACTTTGAATCCCCCCCCCCTTTTTTTTCATTGGCACCATAGATGTATGCCCAGCTGGAGAAGTCTACAGATTCAACCAAGGGTGCCAAAAAGATGGTTGAGGACTTGTTTAGAAAGACCAAAGAGGTAGCAGTTGGATTCTGGAAGTGTCTCTATAGCCTAAGGAGCAAATGGTCCCATCCCAACCTCAACAGGATGGTGGAAGAACTCTCATGCCATGGTGAGACACTGTTTCTTTGCTCCGGCTACCCTTAGGCAGATGAAACTGGCAAGGCATTCCCCAGGGCTTTGGCATCCCTGGATCAAAGAACCTATCTACCGGGAACGGGCACAAAACGAATCCTTTGTAGCTTGGAGGTCTGGCAGAAGTTCCAGCCAAAGTGGAACATGGAACATCTGGATTGTTCTGGGTTTTGGCTAAGAGAAAAAGGAGGAGGCCTTGAATTATTCCTCTCCGCTCAGCCCGGGTAAGACCGTGCCAGGAATGTTGCGTCTAATGCTGGAGACCAGACTGGGAGGTTAGAAAAGGTCCAGAGAAAGGCACCAAAAATGATACAGGGACTTGACGCTGTGTCCTACAAGGACAGGCTGAAGGCATTTAGGATATTCGACTCTGGAACAAAGAGTTGATAGCCATGTTTGGGTACATAAAGGGGTGCCCTAGGACAGATGGGCAGGAAAGAAATGAAGACCATAGAAGTAAAAACCAGAGATAAGGGGTAGAAATTATAGTTGTCTCAATTTTGTTTAAATCTAAGGGAAAACTCCTTGAAGGTCAGATTTGTAGGTGTACCTACAAAACACACTTGGATTCAAGCCCAGCCAGTCTTCTATCACCATCTCCTTGCAGGCCTCCATTGAGTATATTCTGCTGAGATGATTTAATTGTTTAATTAAAAGGCCAACCCAGTCTGACTCTGGGTAGCTTACAAAATACAACAGGAAAAAAGCCACGATAGACATGGCCTAAAAGTCTAGAGGAGAAACCACCCACCCTGGTCTAATAGATCCCAAACATCACACAAGGGGTCCGTCACCCACTCCGACCCAAGGCCTGGGGGAACAGCCAGGTTTCAAGGGCTTACATAGGATGGGAGCTGTTGAAATTTTGGGGTGGGGGGAGGGCAGATTGACAGAGAAGGTCTCCCCCAGGTGACATTGTGTAATTGATGGGAGTTGGAGTAGGTTGGCCAGAAACCACAGAAGAGAGGCGGTCTCTCCAATATGCCATCAAGGGTGGTAACCAACATGTTGAATTGCACTCAGATGCCTACTGTGAACCTCTGCAGTTCACAAAGCAGAGGGGTGATGTTGGCCTATCATGACCTGCCCACCCTTGTCCACGCCACTGTGTTCTGGACCCAATAAAGGGTCCAAATGGTCTTCCAGGGCAGCCCCATGCAGAGGGCATTGCAGTAGCCTAGACGTAATTGAATTTGATTTTGAGCCCCCCTATGCTGTTGAATGATTACTGTCTTTTCTGTAAACCGCTCAGAGTCGTTTTTTAACGAGATGGGTGGTGGCAAATTTGAGATATAAATAAAATTAAAATAAATAAATAAAGCAAATTGAAATCAATTAAAAAAGGAAAAAAAATAGGCTCCCTGCCTCTGAGGTCTCATTATCAAATTTGGAAGGGTTTTATGGTTTATTTCAATAGCAATAGACCAGTGTTGTCCAAACTTGGCCATTTTAAGATGAGTGGACAACTCCCAGAATTCCCCAGCCAGCCTTTATTTACTCTTTATTTACTTTTTAGTGGGTTGGTTTTTTCCTTTTTTGGTATTTTCTATAGCTTTTTTCTCTGTGCATCTTGGATTTATGTTCATTCAGTTACCTGATAATGTTTGTAATCATAGCTCGATAAAAAAAGGGGGAAAAATACAAAATAGTAAACATTTCATTTTTTTTTAATTTAAAAAGAATCCTATATAATGTGTTACTTTTTCTTTCATATACTCTATAGCAGTGTTGTTCAAACTTGGCCACTTTAAGATGGGTGGACTTCAACTCCCAGAATTCCCCAGCCACCCA